GCAAAATCCATGAGACCTAGTTCATACTGTCCATCGCTCAAATCTATCGGTGGAAAGTACGTCACCGAGAGCACGCTGCTTTTACCCGTCAAGGTAAATGTTAGAGACATCCTCGTTTAGTAAAGATGAAATTAATAATGGGACGCACCTATCAGAAATCACAAGTTTATATCGATGTTTCCTGAAGAAACTTGAAACACAATTGACCGCATATGCTTTGATTGAAATTCTGGAACCGAGTATGATTGTATACAGTTTTTACATTCCGCCCAAAGTAATCAATCAGTTCCCGAGGTGTACGAAGATTCCCGAAACTGTCAAAGTATCGCACCTTGCTACCGCGTTTCACGTATGCGACCCAATGTGTACCAGGCCCATCGTTGTTATCCAAGTTAACTATACCGCTTTCATTGACTCGTACCTTTGTCGTAAGAGTATCACGCATGTACACCGCGCGAAAGTACGATATATTCTTTCTCCCAAGTTTCTCTAGTTGAATGTTTGTTATTGGTTTTTTCCCTAATTTTTTTGTTTTTTTTTCTCGTAGATCGAAGTTTTTTTTTTTCTTTTTCAAATCTCACCCCTGCTTGTACGGTGCGAGATGTACTCCGCGACCTTCCATAGCACGATTATGACGTTGCTACTCCTCCAGCTGTTTCCGCGCAGCCTTGGCATCGTTTACAGCCTTAGCTACACCTGCCGCTCCACCGGTCAGCGCTCCTATGGCTGATAAGGCGGGAAGGAGGAACGGGAGGAAACCACCACGTTTTGCTACGGGTAACACTCGTTTCTTTTTCTTTTTCTTCTCGTTATCGCTCTTCTTTCCCTCAAGTCCCATACCGAGTTTCGTCTTAGCCTTCATGGCCGCCCACACCGTCGCTGTTACTGCTTTTTCACCAAAAGTCGCGCCCCTTGCTGCGATGCGTTGTCGCGCTTGATCGGCTAAAATTCTATCTGCCTCGTGACGGTCTTTCAGATCTTTACGTTCCAAATACGCGAGGCCGTGTTGTCTGCAGGCTGCGTCCAGCGGATTGATACCACGATCACCGCGAGCTAAACGTTTTTGCAAATATGTACCCGTCCCACAAAATTGATATCCTGGTATATGAAGTTCAAACGGTAATTTGTTTATCACCTTGTTCAACAGTCCTGCTCCCCTCCTTTTATGCATAGAAAACAGTATTTGATCATGGGCGGTAGTCCTTCAATGTGCGTACGCTGATCCGGCCGATTGTAATGTAAGAAGCATCTGCGATAAGAGCGAACTTCAGGATCGGCTCTGATATGTCTCGGTAGCTTGTCCCACACGTAATGTATGTCGCGAGCAAAACGATTCAAGAGTACAATCTTTGGTATGTATTCCAGCTGCTCCGTAATCAAATCAAACAGTGTATCACCATCGATCAGTACAAAAGTCATTATCACACTAAGCGATACGTTTGTACGGCGCTTGTATAAATACCCGCGACATCATTTTAGCCCCTTTTTATTGTGGCAACAACGTCAACAGCGGTACCAATATGCGTTTCATACGAGAGCCCGTCGAAATTCGAGTAATTTCGGACAGAAGGTTCGACGACACCGTTCAACGCTTTCAGAGACACGGACCGTTGTTACCCGACACTATACGTGATATAGTCTGCGATCCCTCGAATTGTGGAAAAACCAACGTTGTCATTAGCTTGCTGGAGAGTCCGAATGGTGTGCGATTCGAAAATGTATACGTGTACTCAAAGTCGTTGCAACAGCCAAAGTATCAATATTTGGAAACACTGCTCTCATCCGTGAAGAACATTAGATATTTGCCTTTCTCAAATAATAGCGATATCGTTCCACCCAACGAAGGTTTACCGAATTCTATATTTTTATTTGATGACGTGGCACGTGACAAGCAGGACGTAATAAGAGAGTATTTTTCCATGGCTACATTCGAATGTAGACTGTCTGTATCTTTGTTGAAACACCTGATTCGCGACAATACCAATTTGCTGATCCTGTTCAAACAGGATAGTATGAATTTACGCTACGTTTATGATGATCATGTAAACACCGATTTAACGTTTCAAAAATTTAACGAACTTTGCGCGAAATGTTGGTAACGGAACTATGGGTTTTTGGTTATAGACAAGGATAGTCCTACGCATCAAATTCGTTATCGACGTGGATTTAACGAATTTGTCGTACAGTAGATGAATCAGTTGTTTGGGAAACGTCTCCAATGCCACTTTAAACCACTATCGAACCGCTTTGAATCTCGATCGAACCACTTTAAACCACTACGAAACATGGAGGAGGATCAAAAACACGTTCAAAGGAAAGAATGAACGAAGACAGAGGTTTTAACGAAGCAGATTGCTAAAACGAGCGAAGCGATACGAAAAAAGTATCTAGCTTTAAAGATTGGAAGGGTGGATACCGATGCATCGTTGGAAACCAGATTTCGATCCATCGTTGATCCTTTAAAGCAATTGGTTGAAAATACAAAGTCATCCTCTAACTCGATTCATCAAATGACGTCATCCTCACTGGCACCATCACCACCGTTGCCACCTGAACCGCATTTATCGTTACAAGTACCTGTGCCGATCGTAACACCTAAACATCGTGGGAAGAAGAGATTGCATATGGAAACATCAACACCTAGACAATCTACACCTTATCGCCGTATTCCAATTCCTAAAAGAGTTCACACACATTCCGAAGTATCTCTCGAAGTAGCAAGTAGTAAAGGTAGGCGGTTAATAAGCCATGGGGCTCCGAGGGGAGAGCGGGGGAGGGGAGAACCGATGGCGAGGGGGAGAGGACACGAGTGGTGGGGGGTCGGTAATTATTACCTACAGTCGGTAAGGTAGGATGCAATTATTACCTACGGTCGATAAGATAGAAGAGGGGGACACCACCGGTCGGTAATTATCAGTGATCGGTAAGAAAGAAAAACGCAAATTTTACATGTAACGAAATAAGCGCATAAGAGTGGGAGAAACCGCCCTCTTCGCGCGTAGGAGTGGGGGTGTTTTTTCGGGCCCTGCGAGTTCCCTCGCTCTCTCTCGCGCCCAAGCATTTTCTTCCTTGGACTCATGCTCTTTTACCCGTGCAACACGTAAAATTAGAAAAGATGAGGTAATTATAATAGGTAATTATCAGAGATCGGTAAAAAAGAAGAACATCAATTGTTCGACGTTTGGTAAGTACTATTATCGTTATCAGAGATCGGTAAGTTCTTTCTTAGGTTCTTAGTTTCTTCACGCAAATGGTAGATGTAACGAAAGAAGCGCGCACGCTGTAAGGGAGGGGGAAACCATGCTCGTCGTCTTCGCGGGAAGTAAGCGCGCACGTCGTAAGGGAGGGGAAACCGTCCCCTTTGCGCGCAGGAGTGGGGGCGTCGTTGCGGGCCTCCCGGGTTCCCTCTCTCTCGCGCCCGAGTATTTTCTTCCTCGCACTCATGCCCCGTGCAACATGTAACATTACATTACAATGTTTGACGCAGCCATCGGTAGGAACGTCTCGCGACGATGGCCTCGAGCAGAAGATCCAAAAACGCAAAGTTTGCAAATTACAATCCGGCAGCAAATCTTTTATTTGCGCAATACAATTCCTCAAGGACTAGATATTAAAGAAACGGTAGAGGTGACGTCATTCTTTTGATGATGATAATACTGGAGAACGTGCGAAGGAAACATTACACCGGATGAGAATATGATGTGGAAGGAAATGCGCTAGAAAGAAAGAAAGACACATATATCCAAGCTATTTTGTTTGTTGATAACTGTATTCCAACAATACATCTAAACCTAATGCTAACAATTCAGAGTCAACCAATGAATGACGCTCAAAATTTTCATGTTCAACAATTGCCTTTGCATAATCCTTAATTTCAGCATTTTGCATTATTTCTATAAACTTGTTGTACTTAGATTCTACCAGGTACAAGTTTTCAGACAGCCAACTGTACATGTGATCGATACAATATTCGAAAGCGAACAACTTTTGTCCGGTTGTTTCACTCATGAACATACAGACGGTAGAATTTGAGAGTTTTACTAGTTTTACATTGTTTAGTTGTCGGGGTTTAACTGTTACTTAACTGTTAATGCTTATCGGCTCGCTCGAGGTTCCCGATGTATCAGCAAAAATCTCCAGAATGTTGTGCCTCTTTCGTAGGAAATCTTTCCACGTATCCATAGAAAATTTAATTTCGTTTCCACGAGAGTCTCCTACAACCAACTCTACGTCGTAGGAACCACCGATTCGAACCCCGATGTCGAGATACTTGTAGAATGTATCCGTCAGGGGATATTACTTCCCCAGTATACGCACCACGCGTGTTACTCTACGTTCCGAATGAACATTATCGCTATCACTGACAAGAGAAACAAAATATTATAAAGGATATTGAATTTTGACTGCATATTTTGCAATATGTTGTCAAAGAACTTACTGTGTGCGCGACTTCTTTGTTAATGGTTGGTTGAACTCCTTGTTCGGAAGACTCTCTCGTGTTGCTCGAGCGATTTTAGCATTGGACCATATCGCTGATGTTTCAATACGAGGCGATAGAACGATGTTGCGAACAATGATTGAAAAAATGCATTTAGACATTTTTATATAACACCCCCCACTCTTTGTTAGATGGACAAAAAAATGCTGAAACAGCAAATCTCCCCTCCCACACACATTTCACTTTCTTATCCACGTTTATTTTTAACATACACATCTTTGCGTAGCGTCATTTTAACATACACATCATCGCGGAGTCGTTCTAATGAATTGATACATCAGTGGTGTCAATCCCAAAGACATATGGACGTTCTCAGAAAAACAACGATACGGACTTGAGAGGGATTACGAAAATCAGCAGGCAGTGACATCATAGTAGGAGCATATCATGTGACAAAATCACGTGACAAAATCACGTGACCTAGAGTATAAAAATTGTGCTGCAGATTGAACTGCATTCAAACCGTTCTGTAGTGACCCCCAGCGAAAAAGTGAGTGCAACCATGGAAGAACTCTTGGAAATGGAAAGTCGATTGTGGGACCAGGTCGATCAATTGACTTCGCAAGAAGAATACCTCGTATGGGAAGAACGATGCAACGAGTTCCTCGAGTCCCTGAAAGAACAAAACGCCCTCGATCATCGATCGGTGTTCAACAATCGTGCATTGGTAATACATAAGACACTCGAAGTGAATACCGCTTTTAATGGAGAGTTTGTAGCGGGTGATAAACGCTCGAACAAGACTATCAGCGAGAAGAACTGTGAAATCTTTGGCGAGATCAATCTCGAAGAGTGGTACGAGCAACGCGTCGTCGAACCCACCTTAGCATCGTCGTGTATACTCAATTTAATTGTTAACGTGAATAAATATATGCCGCTGCATGCTGGATGTACCATACAATTACCAGCGAGAAATACAACTAAAGAGACCTGTAATAAACGTATGCTCGAACGACAATGCATGTTTCGCGTGGTCAGTGGTGGCTGCTCTGCATCAAGTCGAAAATCGGCTGCAAACGACGTGGGACACTTCGTGTGGATCAAAAACTTGTCTCGCCTCGTGAGCTCACAATTGAGTAAACATAAACGTAGAAAATACTTTTGCGATAGGTATGTATAGAATAATTCTTTTTTCTTTTTAAATATGTTATGTTTGACAAAAATGTATGTCTTTTTATTGCAGATGCTTGCACTACTTTAGTTCGAGTGAGAAGCTAGAAGCTCACACCGTAGATTGCGAGAAGATGAACGAATGCGCAATCGTATTACCAGATGATGAAAGCAAGTGGCTCAGCTTCGACAACTACATCCAGAAAGAGCGACTTCCATTTCTGGTGTACGCCGACCTCGGGTGCATTCTGGAGAAAACTGATCGAGAAGCGCCAAGATCCACATACCAGCATCATAAAGTATTTAGTATTGCATATTATGTTCAATGCGCGTACGATTCGTCCTTGTCGGTGTACCAGTGTCGTCGTGATGCGAATTGTGTTTCCTGGTTCGTCGAAGAATTAAAGAATTTGGCACATTTTGTTAAATCAATTTTATCAAATAACATACAAATGGATGATTTAACGAGCGAAAAGCAGGAGGCATTTCCTAACGCGACGCATTGTCACATTTGCAAAAAACCGTTTGGAGAAAACGATACGAGGCTTCGCGATCATTGCCATCTAACCGGTCGGTACAGGGGTCCCGCGCACTCCAATTGTAATCTAAATTATAAAGCTCTTTTTGCATTCCCATAGTTTTTCATAATTTGTCTGGTTACGATTCGCATTTTATTATCGAAGAAATAGCTATAGCTTTCGAGGGTGCCGTCAGTGTATTGCCGATAACAAAAGAAAAGTACATCTCGTTCACAAAAAGTGTCGAAGATCCAAATAGACTGTCGCGAAATTGTATAAAATTGAGATTCATCGATTTATACAAATTTTTGAGTACTAGTCTCGATAAATTAGCGTCTTTCTTAGATAAAACCAAATTAAGAATTTTACAAACCGAGTTTCCAAATTTGTCTACCGAATATTTCGAATTATTGACGCGAAGGGTGTTTTTCCGTACGAGTACATTGACTGTGCCGAAAAGTTGGAACAATCATGTTTGCCATCACGCGAATCATTTTACAGTTCCTTGACAGGTAATACAGTATCGGAGAGCGAGTACGCGCACGCCGAGAACGTGTGGACGCGGTTTTCCATTCAAATGCTGGGTGAGTATAGCAATTTGTATTTGAAAACAGATGTCTTGCTGTTGGCCGATATTTTTGAAAATTATCGTGAAAGCTGTATAACAAGTTACGAACTCGATCCCGCGTATTATTAAACTCTGCCCGGTTTTATGTGGGATGCCATGCTGAAGCATACAAAAGTTAATTTCGAATTACTAACAGATATCGACATCGTCCTGTTTATCGAACGCGGTATACGCGGCGGATTAAGTCAATGTTCAGGTAGATACGCGAAAGCCAATAATAAGTACATGCAGTCGTACGATGCATCGAAAGCATTGTCGTACCGGTGTCAACCATTGCCATATGCAGAATTTCGATGGGTCGACAACGTCGCAAACTTTGACGTGTCTTCGATTGCTGCCGATTCGCCCACGGGTTACATTCTGGAGGTTGATCTAGAGTATCCGCAACGTTTGCACGACATTCATGCGGACCTGCCGTTCTGTCCCACACGTGCCAAACCACCTGGCAAAAGAGAGGACAAGCTGCTCGCAACTCTATACGATAAGCAGAGCTACGTTATCCACTATCGTAACCTACAGCAATGCATGCGACATGGTATTCGTATTACAAAGGTACACCGCGTCCTTCAATCCGCACAATCACTCTGACTCCGCGATTACATTGAATTAAATGCATAGTTTAGAACTCTCGCTACAAATGATTTTGAAAAGAATTTGTATAAATTGATGAACAATGCGGTATTTGGCAAAACTATGAAGAATGTACGCAATCACGTCGATGTAAAATTAGTAACAAAATGGGAAGGGAGGTACGGAGGGGAGAAAATGGTCGCAAAACCAAATTTCCACAGCCGTAGCGTGTTTTCGGAAAACTTAGTTGCCATCGAACTGCGAAAGCTTGCGGTGCAGTTCAAAAACCAATCTATGTGGGTATGTGTATACTAGATATATCTAAGATTTGTTTGTATGAATTCCATCACGATTACATGTTACCCACACATGGCGATAAATGTAAAGTTATGTACACCAATACGGATAGTTTAATTTACCACATCGAGTGAGAGAATATTTGATACTATAAAACGCGATATTAATCCATTTGATACCAGCGATTATCCGGTAGGGAACGTTTACGATATACCGCTTGTAAACAAAAAAGTCCCCGGTTTGATGAAAGACGAAAACAATGGGGCAATAATGACAGAATTTGTTGGACTCAGAGCGAAAATATATGCAATGCGTGTAGATGGTAAAAAAGATACGAAAAAGGCGAAAGGTGTAAAAAGTAACGTTGTTTCCAGGATGATAACTTTCGACGACTAAACGCAGTAAATATGAAACGAAATTGAAATGATTCGTAATCAGACATGTATAAGATCAAAATTACACAAAGTATACACAATGGCGGAATCAAAAATCACTCTGAGTCCGTACGACGATAAGCAGTATATCGTACCCGACTCAACGGATACATTGCCATGGGGTCATTATAAAATACCGCTTTAGACATATCAGTATATGTATTTTGTAAATCATTTTTACCTCGATTTTAATAGATGTACATATATATTTAGTTGTAAATAAAAAAACATTCTAATGTAACTAATAAGGCTAGTATATGTATAAAACTGAATATTAATTTTAAAAATGTTAATTTTTTACATTATTTTTATTTACCCATGAATTATGTGCACTATTCAATCCTAACCATTTCACGTACACCTTATTCCCTTTCCGACGTTACACTTTTTCCACAAGGTACACATCAGCGTCGGCAACGCATTGCAACTCGTGTTCGTAGAATCCTCCAGCAATTGGTTTTCCATAAACATCTTTCAGCAGATACGTTGTGGGATTAGCTTTCTGAACCTCGGCGATCGTAAATATTTCACCGCATCTCCCACTCTGAATTGTGCGGGAGCGGCAATCTTTACGTGATTATATACCGTTGTTGAGAGCTTAGAGGCGTTTGTTGGTGTAACGTCAATTGGTCGCATGCCGATAGTTCGATGCTTCCGCGCATTGTAATTTGATACGAGTTGCTGCAGCGAGTCAATCCATTTGTAACTTCCATTAAACTTAACAGTTTCCACATGTCGTTTTTGAGCATACGATTGAACCGCTCGACGACTGACGCTTTCATCACTGAATACGTTGAATAATGATTGATGTTGTATTGACAAAAGTTTTTGCACACTTGCGTTGTAAAATTCCTTTCCTTTTTCGGTTTGCAAATTTTTCGCATACCTTCTACTGTTACGGATTATCTTTCCGATCGCTGTAGAAACTTCATTTCCATTCTTGGTTTTGAAGGGTATGGCCCATGCATGCTTACTCAGCACATCGATAACAGTGAGTATGTAATGGAAGCCTCTGTTATACCGCGCGTAAGGTCGCATCTCGACGCGTTTTCGGAGAAAGTTTCTTAACACCGGAGCATGCGATTCTTCCACGAGACGCCGTTTCTCGGTACTGGGAGTTTTCCTTGCAGCCATGTATGACTCAACACTGACGCAAAGACTTGATGTACACGTCTTATGAAACATCAAATCGGTGATTAACGCAACGGTTGGTTGGTCGATCGGTCGTTTAATCGGTCGGTTGACCGGTCTGTTGATCGGTCGTCGGTCGGTAAATAGTCTCAATATCCAGCTATTTATGTGTCTCCATTAGATTTCGGAATTCGGTAATATCCCTCTCTAATTTATTCAGCTCATCTTTCAAGCTCTGAACGAAATTTTGAAACATAATCATCTTTTTGTCGATTACGTCTTGTCGACTTTTTATAACTGCCATTTTTTCATGCAAGTACAGCTTGTTGATTGCATCGCCATCCTCTACAAGCGGTGCTACCCGTCGAATCCTGCGCTACTTTGCGTCATAATTGGTACCGACAACACAAAGAGCGTTGTCGCGTACATAATTTCTGACTGCTCCATTCCAATGATAGTATGATTCCATTCTGCGAATCGATGACCCAAACTTGTTGATTGACATTTTAATGACGATTGACTGTATCGCCAAGGTGCAGCCTAATTTATAATGAATTCTGCCTCGCGAAGTTCCTCGATAATCGATAGCATCTCATTGTCGTGAGCATTGTGACCGGCTTGACGCGAAGCCTCGAGCAATCGAACCCGATCTACGAGTTCGTTGGGATCGTTCCAGTGAACGTAATCAATATCGTTTTTGGTTAATCTCGTGGAACACGGTATGCCGTTTCCAACTTTTTTATCTTGCTATAAAGGTTTGATTACATGGTTATACATGTATCCTCTGTTGCCTAATGTTTGACCATACGAATTGTGCTTGTGCTTATGCGCACTCGTTGTCAGCAGTATGTCCCTGTATTTGCATTCATCAACCTCAGTGTAAATGTCGTTATCCGGAGTTTTCTTGAATATCAGTTCATAAAGGCCGGGTGTACCCGAATATCGTATGGCATCGATGATTATTTTATCCGCATTGTCCACGTCAACATGTTTGTTACCCAGCATCAGTCCGTCATTGGTGAGATAAACACCGTACACGTAATCCATACCAACGTCTACGTCACCGCGTAATACAGGTGCCATGTATTTTTGACTCAGTGGACCTAGATGATTACGTACCGTTTCTTCGCCTTGCGGCGTTTGCAATTGGCTTCGAACAGATGTCGAGAAATAGCTGTTTGGACTTTCAAAAACATCTTCGTTTGCTAAGCGTTTTGTTGTTGTTGTTGTTGTTGTTGTTGATACTGTCTTAATCGGTGTAGAGGTCGGTGTAGAGGCTATCAGGTTCATATCGGGTAAACTGCTTAATCTTGATTTTTTTATATTTGGCGGTTTCGAGAAATTTAACCACAAATTTGATTGTATTTTATCTGATTCCTTGATATTCGGAGTGGATAATGGTTCGCTTTCGACATGTGTTATTGTGTAGATCGTAATTTCTTAATGTGTTGCTGAAAATTGTATTCAGTGGTTCAGTAACAGGTTTAAAGTGTTTTCCCAACACAATCTCTTCGTCAATTTTACCAGTTTTCAATTCACGATACTTTCTGCGAATCAAATCGCCCGTTGTTGCAATCTGTTTCGCTATCCTCTCACGATCTTCAACGGTGTTACTGCTCATGTTGGAACACTGCTTCCTCAACATATCGGATATAACTGGACGTGTTACGATATTGTAAAGTCATTAAATCCTTTTCTACAGCGACCATTCCATAAAGCACTGTTTTTGTCAATCACTACAAATCCACATTTTTCTTCCCAGCAAGCGGTACACAATTTGCAGAAATTCTCAAAAGGCATGTCAGTGTTTACATGATCGTTGTATACATGCTTCAGATTAGTACCATCTTGTTTGAAGATGATCAGCAGGTTCGCGTTGTCGCGTATCAGATGTTTCGGTATCTTCGCATATGTTTGACAAAGATAGAAACAGTCAACCTCCGAGTGCCTACCCATTGCAAAGTATTCTCTTACCGCGTTTTGCTTATCGTATGCCACGTCGTCAAAGATAAAAATCGAATTCGGAAGTGCCTCGCTCGGTGGAACGACGTCGCTTTTATTCGAAAATGTAAAATAACCAATTTCGTCTATCGACGAGAATATATTTTCTAGATTTCGATATTTCGGTTGTTGCAATGATTTCGAGTAGACGTATACGTTTTCGAAGCGAACACCGTGCGGACTTTCTAACAAATTAATCAGCACGTTCGTTTTGCCGCAATTCGATGGGCCGCAGATGATACCACGTATAGAGGTCGGTAGCATATCTCCATGTTTGCGTACTTCTTTCTCAGACTGTGCCTTTTTGTCTACATTAGTCACTCTAATCTCAGATGATTGGCGCACGAACCGCATCGTAGCTGTGGTAAAAAATGAAAGAAAACATACGTGTCGATGTTGGGGGGTATTTATACTAGCGTGACCCAGACGTATCAGACAGTGTAGAAATGGCTTTCATACTGATCGATGGTGATACACTGTTCGACTTGACTGTGGAGCAGTTGGAATACGAGCCAAAGATA